TGTGTTGGTGGTGGTGGTGGTGGGGGGGGGGAGGGGGGCTCCTGCATGTATATAGTACATATTCTAATAGGACTCTTGCACTCTACAAGAAACTATTTGATTGTTTATTTTGATAATATAATGAAATACTAGATCATATAAGTAGTTTCAATCAACATAGTGTAATACTTCCGTATTCCTAGACACTGGACACAACTAATGAATTGTAAAATATCGCAAATTGAATTTTTGAAACACAAGGTGACTTGCAGAAATCAATGGGTAGTGTACAACATAATCTAACTAGTCTTGACTACCCCCACACACAAAAACTAGTTTTGACTACATTAGCAATATGATTGGCATTAACAGAGAATATATGGTACCTAGTAAATGAAAGTAAGGTTTAACTCTTATTTCTGGAATAACCACTTAAGGTATCTAAAAAAGTACCCGCTCTGTAAACTGATCACTAGTGATCTAAAAGATCTTATATTAGTTTACAGATTAGTGATCTAAAATATCTTATATTAGTTTATAGATTAGTGATCTAAAATATCTTATATTAGTTTACAGAGGAAGTAGAATCCATTGTCGACTCTTCTTTCCCTTCACATCATCATATATATTTAGGGTTGACAATAATAAACAAATTTATATGATAAGGTCTTAGTTGGATTGACTGTTTGTATCACAGGAAATTGAAAACATAGGACTGAGATGACATGCATTGAGAATTCCTACAGATTAGAACACATGAATTTCATTACAGATGCCTTTGATGGTGCATAGGAGAGAACACATGTATTTTGGACGATTGAGAGAGAGGGTCGATAGAGAAAGAGTGCATACGAATTTGGAATAAATGAGGTTTGAACTCATATTGAGATTCCTATGGAATAAATGACATAGAAATGGATTCCATACGAATTTGGCAACCTCAATCCTATGAACCAAAGGGTTTCCATAGGAAAATTCCTATTGATCAAAATCTTTCAAAACTCCTATGTTTATCCTTCAATCCAAAGAGATTGTGAGTGTGTGACTCTTAATTAGCCTGACTCTTGAGAGTATAAACTTTTAACTAGGGCTGGACCTACAAACTACATTTCTGACTGAGGGCAAACTGCATGAGTGGGGTGGGGGTGGGGGTGATGGGGCATTTTGTATAAATACATAGAGTTTTAGCATTTGTATTCTAAAAGTACCATCCGCAATTTTTCTTCTTCTAAAAGTACAGAGAAATTTTAGTGGAATCTCATATTTTGAGTGGGGTCCTAACCCCCACTCCCCTCAAGCGTCTGCCCCTGTCGTCTTAACAACAACTATCCTACGTGGCGAGACTGAGTCAGCCATTGTAGGTGACACCCTTACCTAGCGCACGTCCTTGTGTATATGAGAGAGAAGAAAATTCTCCGCAAAAGAAAAAGAGAGAAGAAATTACTATGGTTTTTAGTTGTGAGAGGCATACGTCCACAACATTTTTACTATTAGTTTGAGCTATAGACATGTTCTAACAATGGCACACCCCTTCAATTATTTCATGGTACTAGCCTAGTAGCTAGGTTTGAATTTTCTACAGGGTACAAATCAAGCTAACGATTCCAATTGAGCATGTGCGCATACGTGGATAACGTACGCCAGCTAGTATTACTGATGATAACTTGCCTTTGCCATGGTGGTTATGATCACGGTGGACGCCGTGAACGGCATCACATCGTTGTGGACGATGCGGAGGTGGAGCTCCTCGACCTCCGTGAGAACCCTGGCGACCAGACCCTTTCCATTCATTTCACAGTGGATCCTCACCATGACGTTGTCCTCCGAGAGCTTTGCCTCGATCTCCGGCAGCTTGTTTCCAGTAGCTGGCGTCCCGGCCGCCAAGAGGAACCGCGCGGAGCCCTCGCCGTCGTCTGGCGCGACAGGGCGGCACGGCTTCCTGACGAGCACCACGGTCTCGACGCTCCTATGGTTGCCGCCGGCAGCCTCTAGTGACCTCACCCTCTCTTGGAGCTCCTTCACGTATCTCGTCGCCTCCGTAAGAATCGTCCCCTTGTCCATCTGATCGATCGAAACTAATCTTATTACCGAATTAACTAAGCATTTCCTGAAGGAATATTATGAGATGTAGGAACGGTTGGGAGATTTGAGTCAATTTGACATATTCAAAGACCTTCTTGAGGCCGGGAATGAGAGCGGAGAGCTCGATGAAGCGCTGGTTGATCTTCTCCCGGCGCTTCCGCTCCGCCATGACGTGGTCTTGCGCGTGTGGCGGGCCCTTTGTGGAGGCCCTCCTCGTCGGCTGTGACACGCCGGAAAGAAGCGGCGCTCGCGTGCCCCCGCCCCCGCTGCCAGCCGGCTGCGGCGGCAAGACAGCGCCAAAATTCCAGCTCATGCTGCTGGGCGCGAACGGCCCGCCCGAGGTCGGGGACGCCGTGGACCAGCTGCCTTCGTGCACAGCCGCATCAGGGGCTGGGCTGATGATTCCTCCACCGCCGCCCGTGTCGTCGCCGGAGCTCAGACTGTTCTGTGCTTCTGTCAGCTCCGAGGAATCGCGGAGCTCCTGGAGACACGAGAAGCCGGCGCTCTTCTGGCTGCCACCGTCGGCTCCTCCTGGATCCTGCTGCTCCAGTGTGCTCATCGCCCACTGCATGAACAGGCGAGAGTCGTCCATGTCGTCCATGGGCATCGACCGATCCGTACGTCGTTGCCACTGACCTAGCTCGTGCAACATCGAGACAGAAATGACAGAGTAGTTAAGCACACGTGACACCGCAGAACTAATCACATGCATCGTACTAGTACACCAGAGCACATGGATGCTACTAATTGTTTACCTCGGTGTGAACGATCCAATCCCCGCAGATTTGGTATGGAACCCTGGCCTAGAATCTTGGAGTTTATAACCGAGCGTGCGTCCGCTCTGCTAATTAAGCTCTCGTCACTGTTCCTCCAAAAGAAAAAGCTCCCGTCACTGTAATATTTGCTCACACTAGGCCTCTCAATGGCCCCTCTCTAGCCTAAAACAAATGGGCCAATCCTAAACAGTTAACAATCATATTTGTTGGATCCTGGCTATATCTTGCCTGGATCCAGTGAAAATGATATTCTAGACCACGGAAAAGGTGCATGCACCCCGCAAAAAAAGAAAAAAAAGAGGGAAAAGGTGCATGCAGGTGGTGGGGCAAAAATACCAAATTTCATGATGCGTATGTTTGACTCTCATATTGACCAATTTAGGGCCATGTCAGCTGGATTAGCGGATCTACATGCCCTCTGTCTCAAAATGTAAGTATCTTCCAAAATACAAAGGTTTTAATAGCTACTACCTTCGTTCCAAAATAAGTGTTGTGGTTAACCGAGGGAGTACATATAAATGTGTCATAGCTTTTTTGGTCCCCAAAACACTATGCTAGCAACTAGCCTTATGTAAACAATAGCTATAACATTTTGAACAAATTTCTGGTCTGAAAATTAATTTCCACGAGAGTGAGATTTATTGTCTAATAGAAGTATAAATGATAGGGAAAAAAATACAATGAGATTTACACAAACTCTGTTGGGTAGCTACCTATGCAATACTTGAGGATACCAATAGACATGAAAAGGGTTAGTAACTCCTAGTGGGGGCTAGTTGAAGATAAGATTGAGAAGAAGAAGACGCATTGGAAAGGAAACATCTTGTCTATTGGGGATATGGTGACCTTGATTAATTCCAGTCTCATTAGTTTCCTTTATATATGATGTCCTTCCTAAATATGCCAAAAGGGGTGCTCGAGAAAATGAATTCATGCAGAGCCAAAATGTTATGGCCTGAGATGAATAGTAAAAGGAAATACTACCAAGTCAACTGACATGTGGTGTGCATGCCAAAATACTATGGTGGCCTAGGGGTTCTTGATCTAAAAGCCATCAATCAAAGCCTGCTATACAACTGACTTTGGAAATTGGAGAACACTGAAGGTACCTGCCAGCAATGGTTGTCCAGAAAAGAACTTCAGAAACAAACCCTACCAAGGATTAGGGCTGTGACTAAGGGATCTCATTTTTGGTAGAGTCAGATGAATGTGAACCATATTTTCCAGAGTTTACTAAGAGGTTGTTAGGTTATGGGGCTAAAACTATGTTTTTTTTACCATGGATAAAACTCTGGTTTAGGGGGATATTTGGATTGGTGATACACCTTTAGGAGAGAAATTCCCTAGGCTTTATAGTATCACCTTCTCATAGAAGATTATAGTTCGTAAAGTTTAAGTTGAGGGATGGGAGTGCAAAATAGTGGGAAGCTTTAAAGTTCTTAGTGGATGAACAAACTTTATATGGAATGGACAATTTGAAATAAAGAACAAATTATTGTGGGAGATATATAACTCTACCGAAAAAGGCTTTCACCCCACTTTATATATAAAGCAACGAGATATATAACTCTAGCTCATTCGATCTTATATGGTTAGATACAAATTCATGGAAGTTCGAGATACCCCTCAAGATCAAGATTTTCATGTGGTTGATGCTTAAAATTAACATCTAGACCAAGTATGACCTGATCAAGAGGGGATGGACTGGGAATGATCAATGCCGCTCCCATAGATAGGGAGATAGTTGATCACAAGTTACTTAATTGTATGCTAGGCTGCTAGCCATGCTTGTATGCCATGATCAATATGTATGCTTTGGGTATGTCTAGGGCCCTTGAGTCTTAGATGATATGGTTGAGGGTGGCTTAACACTTTCTTGATAGCAAAGAGATTTTTTTTTGCTTTGTGGGGGAGTAGAGATGTGCGAGACTATGTGGAAAACTCGAAATGCGGCTTGTTTTCATAAAAAAATAAGTCATGGTGATCAAACTATTGGGAAAGGTAGTAGAAAACAAAAAGTTTCGCCCTACGATCACCCAGGAACAATATGAAGGTGCATAACGGGTTGTGATCAACGATCGTTACCGGCTCCAGGAGTGCAGCGAAATTAGACTTTCCTCTTCCGCGTCAACTCCACCGCTGAGTGTGACCTACTGTGCTTCCTGGACGCCTTCTCAGGCTATCATCAAATCAAGATGGCGGTGGAAGACGTAGAGAAGACGACCTTCTTGACCCCGTGCGGCGTGTACTACTACACCTGCATGCCGTTTGGGTTGCGCAATGTCGGAGCAACATTCCAGCGGTTGATGCACATCGCCCTGGGCAAGCATCTCGGAAGGAACGCAGAGGCTTATGTCCATGATATAGTGGTCAAGTCCCGGGAGGCAAGAACCCTTGTTGGAGATCTGGAGGAAACGTTCGCCAACCTGCGCGAGGTGAAGTTGCAGCTCAACCCTGAGAAGTGTGTATTCGGTGTCCCGTCCGACAAGCTGCTGGGGTTCCTGGTGTCGGACAGGGGAATTAAGGCCAACACAGAAAAGGTTAAGGCAATAGAAAGGATGAGCCCACCTCAAACTCTCAAGGAAATGTAGAAGCTGGTGGGCTGTGTGACCTCGCTTGGACGCTTCATCTCTAAGCTAGGCGAGCGCGCCCCCCGTTCTTCAAGCTAATGAAGAGGAAGGGCCCATTCGAGTGGACTCCGGAGGCTGACGCGGCTTTCTAAGACCTCAAGAAGTACCTCACCAGCCCACCAGTAATGGTCACGCCTCGCCCTCTTGAGCCTCTGGTGCTTTACCTGGCGGCTACGCCCCACTCAGCCAGCGCGGCTCTGGTGGCGGCCCGCGAAGAGCGTGCAGCCAAGGGTATGCGGCGCGGGGCCACCAACCCGTCCAAGACGCCACGACCTCAGGACAGCATGCTTGAGGCCTTGGCCGTACCATCAGGAGATGGGGCTCCAGAGGTCGGGACCCCTGAGGCAACAGTGGCCCTCCCTGAGGACGAGGCTCCTGAGGCTTCACCACCTCAAGAAGCGAAAGACTCGGTGGAAACTTCGTCCCTCATCGAGCATCCAGTTTACTTTGTCAACATCGTGCTGCGTGACACGCGAGCATGATACCCCATGCCACAGAAGCTCCTTCTTGCACTCCACGTCACTTCCAGGAGGTTGTGTCACTACTTCCAAGGCCACCCTATCAAGACCATCTCAACCTACCCCCTGGAGAGGATGCTCCGGAGCCCCAACACCGCGGGAAGGGTCGCCTAATGGAATATTGAGTTGCAGGCGTTCGAACTGAAATTAAGCACCACCCGAGTCATCAAGGGTGCAGCCCTCGCTGACTTTGTGGCTAAATGGACTGACGCACCAAGTCAAGAAGTAGGTGAGGACCACTCTCTCGCCCTAGGAGACGAGGCACCTGATGGCTGGGTCATGTACTTCGACAGTACGTTCGCATGCCAGGGCCCGGGGGCTGGAGCCGTGCTCATCTCGCCCACCAAAGGCAAGCTCTACTATGCCATGCAACTCCGCTTCCAGCACGGCGAGAAGGTCTCCAACAATATCACCGAATTCGAAGGCCTGATCGCCGGGCTCAAGGCCGCGGTTTCCTTGGGGGTCAGGCGCCTCACCATCAGGGCTGACTCCTAGCTCATCGTCAACTTCAGCAACAAGGAGTACACGCCAAAGGACAAGCACATGGAGGCATACCTCGAGGAGGTATGCAAAATTGAGAAACAATTCTTAGGTTTGGAGTTGCAGCACATACCGCGCGGCACAAACAAGGAGGCAAACGACATCGCCAAGAGGGCATCCCAGCGCCTCCCCCAGGAGCCTGGTGTCTTCGAGGAGAGGCTCTTCAAGACGTCAGTAGTTTCCCCTGTCGCGGAGCTGGTGTTGCCTCGGGAGGAGCTGCCCACGGCACCTACCACAGGTGCCCGGCCTGTGGTCCGACTTCAGGGGCCCATTTGCTCCTCGCACTCGAGCCTTAGGAGGGGTGCTGGACCGAGGAATTCAAGGCATACCTGCTTTAGGGCACCCTGCCGGAGAAGGAAGAAGATGCAGAGCGGTTGGCCCGACAGGCCACCACATACTGCATTCAGGACGGCGAGCTCTACCGGAGGTGCCCGAACAACGTCTCCCTGTGATGCATCTGCAAGGAGCAGGGGTGCGAGCTGCTGGCCGACATACATGGTAGGGATTGCGGGCATCACTCCTCATCATGCACCCTTGTGGGCAAGGCGTTCCCCAGCGGATTCTATTGGCCTACAACGCTCAACGACACTGCTGAATTGGTAAGATCTTGTGAAGCCTGTCAATTCCATGCTAAGCAGATCCACCAGTCCACTCAGGGCCTCCATACCATCCCGCTCTCGTGGCCGTTTGCGGTCTGGGGGTTGGTCATCTTGGCCCCGTTTCCTTGAGCGCCCGGGTGCTACGCTTTCTCTACATCGCCATCGACAAGTTCACCAAGTGGGCGGAGGTGGAAGTTGTCCGCACCATCCCGACCGGCTCTATGGTAAAGCTCATCAAGGGCCTTGTAAGACGCTTCGGGGTGCCCAACTGCATCATCACCGACAACGGCTCCCATTTCATGAGCAACCTCTTTAAAACATATTGTGCTAACCTTGGGACCCAGATATGTTATGCTTCGATGGCGCACCCGTGGAGCAATGGCCAGGCCGAGCGCGCCAACGGGGAGGTCTTGAGGGGCCTCAAGACAAGGAGCTTCAAGAAAAAGCTCGAGGCCTGCGGCAGGGGCTGGTTCGACGAACCCCCGTCCGTGTTGTGGTCCATCCGCACCACCACGACCAAGCCTACAGGCGAGACCCGTTCTTCCTCGTCTACGGAGCCGAGGCGATCCTCCTCATGAGGTCAGGTGTC